GAGTGGCGCCGGTTGGTGTGTTTGGGTGTGATGGTGGTGACGGTGGAGCGGAGAGATGTGGGGGCAGGACGGTTATGGCAACAGTGAAAATGGAAGAGCTGGGTGGGCGGAAGTAGCAGAAAGAGGTGCGATGGGGGGAGGGAGGAAGAGAAGGAGGAGGAGGAGGAGGAGGAGGAGGAGGAGCAGGAGAAGTAGAAGGAGAAGAAGAAGGAGAAGGCAGCGGCCACGTGAGGGGGAGCGCAGCGATATGGGCGTGGCGTCGGCGATGGTGAAATTGGAGGCGGGGCGCTGGAAGTCGGTGGACGTAAGGGAGGCGGCGGCAGCGGTGGGATAGATTTTGGCACGAGGGGAGGGGGGGTGCGGGGGCGCGCCCTTGGGACGAGAGCACGAGCGGCCAGGCGCCGCGCCGATTGCACAGACGCGATAGGCTGTCAAAAGCCGCTCGTTGGAACCAGGTGGACGGGTAAAAGAAGCAAAGCTGAAGAATGCGTGGGACGGTACAAGAGACTGGCCACTGACGCCACTGTCAAAGCGACCGTGCATGTCGGCAGACTAATTTCGCTCCACGTCGTTATTTGTTGTCCTTGAAGGTTGTCATTTTGCCAGTAATATTAATCTGCAGAAATTGAAGTCTGGTCATATATAGATATAAAATGTACGTGTATACACAATTAAGGAGTAACGAATACGTAAGTTTGAGATAATTAAATTTAATAATTTTAATTAAAATAATTTCGAACTTACTAATGTTCATGTTCATTTATAAGATACTATGTCACTAAGTATTGCATAGGCAGAGGAAAGACTATTTGAAACAGATAAATCATTGGATCGGGGATTAATATTATTTTTGTTGTTATATTAAAATAAATACAACTTGCCTAAAGTTAGTTCTTGGTAAACCATAGAAACATCTTACTCAAGATTGGCATGTTGCAAACCCGAACACTAGTAAACACATGAGCATCAATTCAGACAAGTGACTGATCGTTAGTCTTAAGTAACTGCATGCGAGCATTTCTTTATTGTATCTCACGCGGATAATAATGGGCAACTGAGAAGTCACTCTTAGAAGTCAGACAACTCTTCACAATCCTTCATCCGAAGCAGCGAAAAAACAAGCCGAGGAGAGGGCGGCGTGAATGATTTGATTTGCTGCTAAGTCACACCTGCCCCTTCCGCTCACAGCAGCCTCTCAGGCGGGAGGAGAAATAAAAATAAAAAAAAAAAAACAACCGGAGTCGCGAACTGGAGGGCGTGGTCGGAGCGCCGCGGGATATTTCAATGTTTTTTACTCCGGACTCAGTTTTTAAAACACTATTTCTGAAGGAGAGACGCGGTACATTTCAATCGTTTTACTTCAAACTCGGTTTTTAAAAAACTAATTTTTGAGGATTAAACACATTATTTCATCAAGTATAAAAGTAATTAAACTTACCCAAATTTTCATTAATAAGGAGAATCTACGGCACTCACCTGAAAAAAAAGCAAACTTTAATTACAATGACGAACATATGGGTAAAAAAATAAGTGTTTTTTAAAAAAATCCATTACGATTCAATTTAACTTTTCTTTTCTGAACTATATAATATACAAAGTATTGGTAAGAATTGGAATCGTCTCAGCCATACGATCTCTAATTTTTGTACCCAAAATCCATGTTTAATATTCTTTTGATCTGTAACTTCGTACACAAGTCCAAATTAAAATATATAAGCGCTGCCTCAAAGATGGTGAAGATTGGTGCAGGCGACAAGAAGATAGTGCAGTTTTATATTCCCAAATCGGTATATATGTACTGATGGATGTAAATATGTGACGCGCGTAACTCCGCCAGATTAGAAGTTTTGAGTTCAAACTTGGGTAAACACATCAGAAGAAAGATGTAGTTGTGATCCTTCATCTTCAATAATGAAGCTAGATATTTTTTCATTCCAAACAGCTCATTTTACATCTTGAAATTATATCATAAACACCTTTTAAAAATTATTAGTATTTGAGTACTTTGACGGAAATCGTAACATTTTCCCCAAAACGTGTAAGTATTCATTTTAGACCGTTGGTATTCCTGTGTGTTCTCGTGGGAGAATATAGAAAAGGTACGTTGTCTACGTTCAGGGGAGAGAATTGTCACCATCAATTTAAGTACACAAAATACAAGTATTACAGTATTTGTAGCACAAGTATTACAAAATCCAAATTATGAATTACATAAAACGAACTGGAGGTAAAATTTTGGTATGCCGCTCATTTTGACTAATTTAGTTTTATTTTAAACATTTACCCTTACATGTACATTTTCCATTATTGGAGGATGTTAAGATGTGAAAGGCATATAAGCCGTGTCTCGTGAAATGCAGCACAGACAAGGAAAAAACATTACAAACTACTGTGTGTGTGTGTGTGTGTGTGTGTGTGTGCGCGCGCGAGTGCGTGCGTGTGTGTGTGCGTGTGTGAATGCGTGCGTGTGTGTGTGAGAGAGTGAGTGTGTGTAGGTAGGGGGAAACGCAGGGTCAAGCAAGGTCAGAGGGTGACGGTTCGAAGCCAGCCGCCTTTTCAATGAGTGCGCTTTTCCGCAAACATTCACCAAACACGGGATGCATAAATTGCCTCGTAAACGAACAATAACCGGCACAAAACGACACAAAAAGCTCGATGGGCAGGATACACGTGACGAGACGGCGCTTTCGCATCGCCACCACGTGAGGGAGGTGGATGTGCGGGAGGATAGGAGAAGGGGCGAAACAAAATGGGCGAAAGCCTCCGAGACTTCCGTTTTTTCTTCGATATCAGAAAAATATCAAACACACTCATTAATCGCATATCATAAATCGAGAGTTACATTTCTTCTTATTTTTTTATAATATTACGACGCAGGGAGAATTCTGTAAAGAATTTCGGGGGAGTGAAGGAGAGACGGATAATTTCAGTTCGGCTTCAACACAAGTATGTTTGATATATATATATATATATATAATATCATATATATATATATATATATATGATATATATATATATAAAATATAATATATTATATATATAATATATATATATATATATATATATATATATATATATATTATATATATATATATATATATTATATATATAAATTAGAATAGGTGGAGAGGTTGGGAACGGGAGGCGGGAATGAGAAAGAGAAGAATTGAGGGGTTTGGAGAGGGTGGGAGAGAAATAAGTTCTGGCGAGGAGAGAAAAAAAAGGGGTGGAGGTCGGGAGGGTGGGTGAGGGGAGAGGAGGGGAAGAGAGGTAGCGAGGGAAAGGAAGGGCAATGGGAGTGAGGAAAGAGGCGAGGAGGAGGGGAGAGGAGGTGGAGTGGGTGGGGGGCAAGGGCTGCCAAAAGGGAACGTCAGCGCTCTCGTTAGCAGAGCGACGTCGGCAGGAAGGAAACAGCAGCCTGCAGCGCACAAAGGCAACGACCTCCCTCTTCTAATTGCGCCTTCCTCCTCTCCCATCCTACCACGGCGGATACACCGCTAATAAAGTTAGTTCCTTCGTGTGTAAGTACAGTGAAGACGCTTCGTATTAAAACGAGTCTAATTTTAAAATAAGAAAGCAGCTACGCTGGAAACAGGATAGTTCCAACTACAACGTGTAGTTTGTAAGAAACACCGAAAGCACATCGATAGGCAAGAAATGAGAGACTGTCTACGTGGAAGTCAAACGCGTCGATCAGTTCGAAAATCGAAGGGTTTCCAACCGAAGACGTTAGAAATTCTGAAACACGAAGGAAAGGGTTATGAGTTGTTCGGCTATTCACGTTTAGACGTCCTCAGCATCTTGTAGTATAATTTCAGCTCAATTGCCGCCAGTCGATAGTGATGCATAACTTGATTCTTCGATGATTAAACGAAATTGAAATCCATCAAACATTCACAGTTCATAAAACTGACATAAACTGAAAAGAGCATGCAAGTTCATGAATAAAAGAACATTGGTCTTACAATAACTTTCTTATTTTGCCATTATTCATTTGATATGCTCAGAGAGAAGCTATATATACACAATTTTTTTCCAACGATCCCAAGTAAAATTGCATCAGTGCAGAGAAAGAGAAGATGGTCGTAGTCAATACTAATTGTTGTGCTCTTCCCTTTGCGTTTCTATTCATTTCCACGACGAGAAGTAAGTTAATTAGTTTCTATTTCATTTCCGTATGCGAAGAAGCTTTTGTTGACAATGCATTCCTAGTTACCCAGGACGCCAATTTGTTTAATGAATTCCTTCTTTCGCAAATAGGAGATTTCTAACCATAATCCATTACAAAAATTACAGCAGGGTAGTTTCCTTTTTTAAATTTCAACTAACGCACACAAGTTTTATCGGGACCCCGTTGTTCTGGATCACACGTAATGGTGCTTTCCTTCAATTGGGCCTCTGCTGTTTCATGAGAAAGCATGTTCCATCAACTATTAAGTTCCAGAGCACAAATAGCAAAAGACCGCTTCAATATCTCCAACAAGCTCAACGAACCAAATCCACCATCGCAACGAATGTCGATTGCATCCTACTAGGCTCCATCTGGAAGTATCTGTTTGCGCAGATGGCAAGGGAAACGTTCAAAATTCAATTTTCACATGAATAAGCTAATTCGATAGCGATTTTCGGTGAGTTACACTTTAGTTGCAAAACATTATATCGTTAAGAGATCTACAAAAGTTTGTTAAATGTTTCACTGCCTGATTTACAGATTGGCAAATTCATTTCTGACGGTAAATTATAATCTTCGACACCTGAATAAATACTACTGCGATTCAACGTAAAACCCAGTCTCTTATTGGGAACTGGCTCAAACTCACAGGCCGGAGCGGGGATTCCAAAACATGAAGCCTCAAATTAGAAAAAAAAAAAAAAAAAAAAGAAGCTCGTCGGCGCAGTAAGTGGTACCTTTCCGAGCGCCAACGAGCGGCAGTCGGGCGCGTGTGCCCAGGCAGCTCTCACGCGTCAGGCGCTCTCCACGGCGCTGGCGACGCTCGGCGGCCGGCCGGCGCAGACAAAGGGCGCCCGCCGCGACGTGGGCGTCCTGGGAGGCGCGCGAAAGCAGCGACTTAGGCCGACTGGCGTCCCGGGCGTAATTTTGGGGAAGGCGAGTTCCGGTTCAGGGGGCGCGCGGGCTCCGCGCAGGCAGGCTCCCACGAGGGGCCTCCGCGGGGGCGCACGCCCGGGCCCGTGCCCGTGCCCGTGCCAGCACGCCAAGCGCGCTTAAGCAAACACGGACAGACTCTGCTTAGCGCTTCGAGCGCAATGCTCCAATCATTACGCGTTTTCACGGAGATTTTCATGTCCGTGATATTGTGGAGGCGGCCTTGTTTCTCGGAATGCTGTGCCAGTATATTGCTTTTGGCGTGTCTCGTTTGTTTTCTTGCTTCCGTTAGAAATAAAGCTGTTCTGTTTTAAAGCTGTTTCGCAGAAGGGTCTTTTTCGTTATTTTAGTTCATCCTTCCGTCACTTGAATGTGTGGTAGTTAAAGTTTCCACAGGGTGGTAACTCATTTCGTGAAAGAAGAAAGGCAGAAAAGAAAAAGACATTTTCCAGTTTTCCAGTGTATATTTTTTTTTATTTTTCACTGATTCTAAAATTTTCCTTGACTTTTAAATCTTCATCTAAAAATTTCATGAATTTTCTACAGAAAATAAATTCTCTGATTTTGTGTTTTCGTGATTTTCAGAAAGTGGCCTCCCTGTTCTATGATGACTGTAGCAAAATATACGAGTCATGTCGAAACGATAAAAGTGGAGCATCGTCCATCTTTACAGTGAGCGGGTGCTCAATAGCTTTAATCACATAATATAGTATATTTCGTATTTATTATTATTCGATATTGTCATTTGTTATAATTAAATTGACATTTTCATCAGTTTCAATTTCTTTGAGTTTTTTAACTGTCTCTCACCTCCGCAAGATACTTAAAATATATTCCAATTAGAGTTATTTTACTAAAATCGATAAGAAATGGTAAAGAATTCACATTTTTTCAATAAACAAAATATTTAGTACTTTTTACATGAGGCGAGAATTAGTGCCATTAATTTTTTTCTAGGTATTCAAGTCATTTTATTACCATCAAAACTGTTTTGCCACAGTTAGTACCATTGTTGACAGTTTAGAAAAAATGCATCAAGGAAAGTCTTTTGTTTTTATAAGTAACACTATGCGTCATCATTGCCTTAGTCCGGACACTGACTGTCATATACCTAATATATGGTTAATTTGCATCTCGTTCTCATATATCGGAAGGTTTTCTTTGTTGGAGAGCGAATTACAAATTTTGTAACAGTAAAATCTGCGAAACAGCTCCGGAACATTCAAGATTCAAGAACTTCAAGATTTTCTGAATCAACATTCTTATTGTATAATTTATTCATCAATCCTCTGCTTCTTTCTGAAAACTCCACCGATGAAACGAAGCACCCATCATAAATCACACTGATGTGTCAGAGCGAAGAAAACAGGAT